ATCAGATCGAGCAGACTTTTGCTGATCAGATCGAGCAGACATCAGATCGAGCAGACTTTTGCTGATCAGATCGAGCAGACTGGTGATGAGGAGCAGACTACGGGTGCTGATGTCAAGGGGCCGCTGAACAGCAGCGACCAAGAGTATGGAGTTCCTAGTACAGACGAGTACAACAACAACGCGAGCACTCTTCTAGATGTTCAGGATAGTAGAACTCCAACAAGCTCCAGAAGGGGTCCTGTCAGCATGCATTTTCACGTTAAGGCCCCGCCAACATGCATAGACTCTGTAGAACACTCGAAAATCTGAACTGTATCATGCTTCCAACAGGGCTCGTATAGACCATAATAATTAAGAGAGAAGCGAGGGCTCGTCTAGTCGTTGAAGATGAAGGAACAAGTAGTAGACTATCATTTCATGCTTCCAGCGTTATGCTTCCAGCCGTGACTTCAACGTTAGTTGTATATTTCGTAGTCCTCTATTTCGTTGTTGAGTGGCACATGTTCCATCGGTCGCGTCCTGGAGCACGTAGAGGCTCCAACGTCTTCTGAAAATGACGGAACAAGTAGACTCAGGACTCCTAGGAGCTGGCTTGGATGCGCAGTCCTTTCATTCTAGTATTTTTATGTGATCCACTTCTACAAGTCCTCTGCAGATTAGTCTTGCAAATTAGTCTTGCAGGAAAAAGGGGAGTCTGCGTGTCAGGTTTCTTTAGCGGAAGCTTTTCGAGAGGACTTGGAAACCTCCTTATAATTTCAGCCGCGCTGTGGGTGAGAGTTACCCTCAAAATGACATCCGTCACTAGGAGTGCGAGCAAGATGCTGACGCCAACGATTTCCAGACGGAAGACCAAGTGCAGACTTCTTCTTCTGCATAAAGAAATGCTGCCATTCCTAAGGAAATCAGAGCACAACTCTTTCCACTAGTGATGGCGGACGAGTGGGATCTTCTTGTGGATCTGCTTAACTATAGCGAAGACTGGAGTGGAAGTGGTGTGGAACGCGGCGTCGACGCTTCTTTACATTTTTAAGGGTTACCAGCACGTTTTTGCATCTTCTCCCGTCACTATCTTCCCTGAGCCGCCTTTTTCGAGTAAGTAGAAGATAAGCCAAGCAGAAAGTATTAAGGTATTTACAACCACCAGAAAATGCTCCTTTTTAGACGTTTTTCTTAGGAAAAACGTTGCAATTGTGCAATCATCGTCAGCCGTCAAGAATGTCTAATAATTGCAACCGCATCAAGAGGTGGAGGTCGTGGGAGGATCGTCATGCACAGCGCATGTGGCAATAATTCTGAAGCGTGTGGCGTCTCAGTTGCGCAATGTCTCAAGTCCCTGGATTTCGCACAAGCTGCGCAAAGAACTACTGGCGAGTCTTCATTTTCTGGCATTAAGGCAACGACCACAAGCTTCGCAAGCAAACATGAAACAGGAATAACTTCAACTACTCTTAACTCTGTAGTTTTTCACGAACGCCAGAAGTAGACCTTCTAGATCGCCTCGATCATTCTTTTTTGAAGAGGAAAAAGAAGGCGTGAGGCCCTCAAGTAGAGAAGTTGAAATATCATGAGGACACTTAAGGTTGGCACCTTGACTCCTCGTGCTGGGAACTCTGGGCTCCAAGTGGTGCTTATGGTCCAGAGCCCGGACCACATCCCCCACCCTCGTCGGTTAGCGTATTGACCTACTGCCATAAACTTCCTCCTCCCCACCATTATAGCGTGTGCGTTTCTGCTTAGCTTATCTATCTGCGGGGCTTGTGACGTTAAACCGCCTACAATCTAATCCAGCCATCGTATTCATTTTTCAAGTTGGACGAAAGAAGCGTCGGATTTTTTTCATTTTCAAGGACAAGGAGAAGGCTCCTCGTCAAGGAAGATGTGATCATACGGGAGTTCCAAATTTCTAAGTGAACATCATACATCCTTGGCCTCTCTTTCAAGGGGACCTCACCAAGAAGCGTCCCTCAACGAGCTGGCTTCTCCTTCTCTTTCAAGGGGACCTCACCAAGAAGCGTCCCTCAACGA